GTCTGTACAACTCCAACCCAAGATGTAACTAGGAAGCACCCGTCTCTGTTACAGGGCATGGAGATGAGAGCTCAGAGATGGCTCGCTTCATGGGGGAAGGGGGTGGGGGAGACAATGCAAAGACCTTGCAGGAAGGAAAAGGGAGGAAAGATTCCCGCCAGTGGGCCGTGAGAATGTGCCACGTGGCTCCGGACTAAGTAATGGAGATCGTGGCGACAAAGCTGATGGCGCTGGGAGCCACGAGAGGCCTGCCTAGCTGAGCTCTGGACATACACTCCCCTTACTCTGAAGGAAGTCACCCCAGACCAGCCCAGGTGGCCTAACGGGGCAAAGTCGGGGAAAGGCAGGACTGTGCATTGGTAAATGTCCCAAAGGGCCTCTGAAACCCAATGGCAACATTCACTACCCAAAATCTACACAACCCTTGAACAAGTAGTCCCCTTCCCCAAACGGGTCTAATATTCGGTAACATTCTGGGTACAAAGACAGCAGGAACCCCACCTAAACAAAGAAGGCAAATGGAGTGTGGGTGCAGGTGTAAAGGCCAAAATCAACCCGGGAGGACAAGAGTAAAAGACTCTCTGTGGGACTGATGAGGAGACCGCAAAAGGGAACCATAGCGCAGACAAAGCGGTGAGTGATATCCAGTATGGAAGGTCAAACTATGCCTATGACGGAGCAGCTGCAGGGTGGGGTGGTGTCTTATGGTTTTCACAGTGTGCCTGACCAGTGTGCGGACATTTTCTTGCACCTGGTGGGGACTCAGGCTAACCCCATTCCGCACCCAGGTTATCCTATCACAGGTGTCTTCAAGGGGCAGGCGCCCTTGTGGCTTTTAACTGCCCAACCCGTGTCCGCAGTTTAGCGGCCGACCTTCCATCAGGGAACATCAGACTCACCAAAACAGAATAAATGGCAATGGAAAGGGGCATCCTTGGGTGGCAGGGCAGCAAAGGGGACTTACCAATCCGGTGTCTACTCCAGATTGGCTTGCTGAAAGTTCTCACAGGTGGGCTCAGATAACCAGCTTCTTGGTGATCGCCGACAAAAAATTGAACCGAACACACAGAGTTTGTAGCAGAAAGTGAGAAAAAGCAGATTTATTAAGCCATACAGAACATGGGAGCAGGCCAACTCTGAGCAGAGCAGAGCAGAGAAGAGCTTAGCGGAGCAGAGCCTAACAGCCTAACAGCCACAGCAGCCTAATTTCTTCATGTCTTAAACTATCTATCCAATGGTTCTTCTTCCAGATTTCTTTGAAGAGAAGTCTATACCCTTTCTCCTCAGAGCAGGCATGGTCTTAGGACCAGCAGTACTGGTGTCACCTGACAGCTTGTGAGAATTTAGAATACCAGGCCTCATGCTGGCATTTCTTTAGGCTTGAAACTGCACTAGAAGTCATAAACTTTCTACTGGACTGTTCATCAGGTTCTAACTTCTTTGATCTTCCCATAACTAACCCTGTTCTCTCCTTCTTTCCAATGCTCTCATTCTGGACTATAGAATACCATCCTATGAAGTAGCAACATTTTATATGACTTCAGAGTATAGACATTTAGAGCTGACCACATATGCTTATGCTTATCCATGGTAGATAAAATACAGCTCTGCATGATCCATAACGCCTTCCCAATAGTGAGGAAAAGAGTAAGAGTGTGAAAATTTTGCTGTACTTCTCTGAGAAATTCTGGTGCTGGAAGCTCTCTTTATATTTTTCCCAGATTTCAAATACTCTGCTCTTCCTTTTTCTTAATAATTATTTTATTTTATCACCTCCCACTATATAGGGTGGGGCAAAACAACACAATAATTAATAAATAATACAATAATTAATAAATTAATAATCTGTGATTTATTAACAATACATTAATAATTTACTTGTAAAGATACTTGACATAATAAGAAACACAATAATTAATGAGTAATAGAAGAATAAACTCCGTGTTTCACATACACAACTGTAAACCTACTTTTGCCCCACCCTGTATATACCTGCTTCTTTTTCCTTCCTTTACTCCCTGTATATCTACCTTTCTTATTCTTCACTCCCTATTTTATTCTTTGCCTCTTCCTTATATTCTGACTCTTCTCAAGTCTCAGAGAATTTTGAAATGGAAAAAATAATTTGGCTCTTGCAGCGACACTCTTCATTTTATTTCTTACTGATACCTGATAAGATTTACAACTTACCTCCTTCTCACTCCTCTTTTTGCTTGCTATGCATTTAGCAGGTGATTTTTTTTTTTTTACTATTAGGATATGTAAGTGTTCATGTTTTAAATCAACATTCTGTCAAAGGATCTTTTTATAAAATACAGTTCTTACCTTCTTTTTGTCTGTTTAGTATAATTTTTCCTCCTTGATTGGAAGCTTCAGGTAAATGGTTATTACACTTCTGTGGAAAACTTGCAGAGAAACTCTGATAAAATGTATATTAATAATGTGCTACATAAAGATTTCCTAACCCCTTCCTAGAAAGATACCTTAATTGCCTACTTTAAAAGCATTTAGACCTAAAAATAAAAGAAGCATGTGTTAAACAAAACATTTATATAGAAAACCTCATATGTGCTCTCTAGATCAAACTTTCTTTTATCTTCATTTGGCTGTTTACTGTATATTGAGCTTGTAAACCCAGAAAAAATACTTTCCTAGACAAAATACTGATGTATATGCACATTTCAATAAGGAACTAACTTCAAAACACCTACCTCTACTTTGCATTCTCCACTGAAATAAGAGAATGTTTTGAAAAGAAAAACTTTTTTAAACAAAATTATCTAATACGTATACTTGGTAAAAATTTTAAATATTTCTGACAGAACTTTTTTTAATGTTAAAAAAAGATACTTGACAATAAGAAACCTTGGAATGTGTCATGTTAAATGTAAACAAAACAGTGTAGAACCTGCTTCATTTAGTTACTGTAGTGCTTAGACAAAACTATTAGTATTTGATAAAATTTTTGATAGAAAAAATGGTTGAATAAAATGGCAAAGTAGTAAGAAAAACGTTTCTTTAAATTATGCTTAAATAATTGCAAAAATTGTACATACTCATGTAATTTTTCACAAAAATATAGTAAACTTTAATAAAGGAAGAGTAAAAACATTTGTTTATTAACCATCTAAAATGTTCCAGCCACTTATTATGCATACTTTGATTCTTTTCTACACACAACCACAATAATAAAAATGGTATTACCATGATTGCCCTGCCTCCTGCCTCCAGATCACTCCAAGATGTCAGAGAAAAATGATGAACAGATGTGACTCATTGTTCTCTCTGTCCAGCAAGTCTTTCTCCTAGACCTTCACATGACTGGCTCCTTCACTTGAAAGTTTTTGTTACATTCAGAAAGATCTTTTCTCACCATCTAGATTGTATTCCCATTCCCATTCTAACTAAAAACTCCCCCAATATTCTCTAACCTAATGTTCTCCATTTTCTTTATATAAAGCACTTATAGTGACTTATAATGGATTATTGTTTACTTGTTTTTTTACTCCTCCCCATTCACTAAAGCCTAACTGCTCAACTTGCACATTCAGCATCTAACTGCCCAGCACAGAATTGTTATTCAATATCATAAATTTAATTAAGGTCAAAACATGTATGACCTCATCAAGAAAGCCTCAATTACCAAAGCACTCTATACCTCTAGGGTATCTCCATTAATAGTCTACAAAGACTTAACAGCCCTCAAGTTAGAAATTTACATACCCTTTCTAACTTTGCCATTTTTTTCCTTAACACTCCTGCCATTTTATTGTCCTTCAGGTTTACAAAAAGTGTCCTCAATATTTAGTAAGTCACTGAATATCACTGTGATCACTGTAGTCTTATATTTCCATAGCACGCTTTACAGCTTACAAAGTGTTTTTACACTTGTTACCGCATTTGTTCATCACGTGTACATGAAAGGTAGGTATTAGTACCATTGTTATGAATGAGGTATTCATTCATATTCCAACTGATCACTGATATTCCAACAGGTTAAAACAAGTTTTCCCAAGATCCCATTGCTACTAACTGGCATGATCTTGGACTTCAAGTACTGTGTTTGTGCCATCAGGCAGCAGGTGCCTGTTACCAAGAGATTATGCTCTTTGTATCTCCTCCCACAGCTGTTCCTTTAGATCAGTTCATCACATCTTCATATGTAAGTTACAACTAGTATGGTTGCCATAAAGTCTTCAATGCATGCTGTTTTAACTATTGAAAACACCTGCTACTTATCTATTAAATTTATTTATCTATTAACTATTAACTCCTTATCTAAACTTATATATTAACTATTAAACACCTCTATGACAAATTTTTGTTATAATCCTACGTATTTATTACTACTTACCATGCTTTTCTTTCTCTCAAAATATTCCTTGCACATCTACTTGACAATCCTAATTAAACAATACTTTGAAACCCCAGGCATTATCTTTACAAATGCCAAGTTATAAAAAACAAACAAACAAAACTACAACCCAAACTGTTTCTATCTGAATCTCATTAGGAGTTTTACATATCCATATAAACCACAGTAACACACATTGGCCATAGGTTGACCAGGGTTAATTCTTTAGTTTTTAGATAAACTTAACTTCAGAACCCAAACTGATTATTTATGACTTCAAAGCCTTAGTTATTTATAATATACTACACTGATTTTACTCAGTGAATCTTGCAAATTAGCAGAATTGTACTCTGCAGGGTGAGGCAAAACTAGGTTTACAGTTGCGAGTATTCAGAAGAGAGTTTATTCTTGTATTATAATTTATTAATTATTGTATTATTTTCCATATGAACAACTGTGAACCTACTTTTGCCCCACCCTGTATTTAGCACATAGTTATTTTATTAGTTATAGGTTAAAAAAATCAGAAAATAATTTTACAGACAAATACAGAGGTGAGGAAATAAAGTCAAAGCATCCCTTTTATGTTTGAACATGATCAATGCTGATATTTAAAAACAATAATAACAATAATAAACAACAGTACCTCCGAATCCCATGGTGATTCTGTATCTTCATCTTTTCCTAATCTTAATACTGGTGTTCTACCTATAAAGTGTAGCCACAGATATATTAATGTGAACATTTTTACTATGAATTTTAAGTGGTCTATCTCCATTTTTGGATATTTCAATAAAAATAATAGCAGAAAAAAATTTTAGAGGGTTGAAGCATTTACAGGAAGAAAAAAAGATGGTAGTAGTTGGGATACTTTTGAATAAAGATAGCAAAAGAAATACTTCAAAAAATGGATAACATATTTGGATCTATACAAATTAGATTTGTTTATACCAGCATTTAAGCATAAGAAAAAAATCCATCAATAACCACTAACTAACCACTACTATTATACTTTTGTGTTCTCCATCAATATAAGTCAAATTGTCATTATTTGTTTGGTTTTGTGAAGCACTTTCAATAATATCAATACCATTTCCTTTTTTTTTAATTTCTGGCTTTGTTGCTTCTTCCTATAAAACAAAACAAAACAAAAACCCAACTTTAGAAAAAGTCATATTCATTCATTTGCTCACTCAATCACTCAGTCAGTAGAACAACAAACGTTTATTGTCATCTATCAAATCATAGGCACTAACCTGGAAGAAACTAGAAATATAAATAAAAGATTTTGCCCAATATTCTAGTAAAGGTACAGATACATGAAAACAATAAGAAGAGAAAAGTATCATTTTCTAGTTCTACAACTGAAGTGAGTAAACTACAGTAAGGGCACAAAGGAGACAACAGTGTGTTGCGCCTGGGAAGCTCAGGAAATGACATACCGTGAAAGATGTACTAAGCGCAGAGGGGGAGCATGAAGGGCATTCTAGAAAGGTCAGCATGAGCAAAAGCATAAGGTAAGTGAGGGCACAAAAGGAATGTGGTAAAACCGGAATGGCGAAAATGGGAGGGAGAGATAAAACTGGAGAATCAGAGCCTAACCAAAACAGGCAAGTGTCATGCTAGCATATGAATTTTGCCCGAATGTAATGGAGAGCCACTACATATGCAGGGGAGTTACATCATCACAAATATATTTTAGAGCAGTCACTCTGGCAGCAATGTGAAGATGAACATAAGGAGAGCAAAACTAGAAAAGAGTATTTCAAAATCAAAAGTGAGAAAGTAAATTACTATAAGTAAAGTACTGACATAAAAAATGGCATCAGGTAGAAAGTATTAAACTTGGTGAGTGACTGGATGTGGTGATCTCAGGGAGGGCTGCAGACCAGGATTTTTCCTGCTTCAGTGTTCCAGTGCTGCTATGTATGAGGATGGGAAATCAGGTGACAGAGCAGGCTACAGAGTCAGGAAAGGGGGAAGGGTCAGGGCAATGTCTTCAGTTTGGGGCATAACAAATTTGAGACACCCAGGGGACTTAGAAGAAAGATCTAGATAAATACACTTTAAGTAAAAATAGATTACTTTATTCAGGAAAAGTATATGATGTTAAGATAAATATTTGTAAAATATACTAAACTGATATAATTTGATAATGCAAACATACATAGAACTTCTGAAATTTTGAAAATAAAAGCAAAAGCAGGGGAAAAAAATAATACGGGATTCAGTTTTCCCATCATACACTTCAAAATTTGTTTCAACAAAATAACATTTTACAAACATATGCAAATATTTATGGGATATCTTAATATAAGCATTTTAAGTTTAATTTAAAAATTTAGTGGTAAAATACAAATTCACAATTTTAGAGACTCTTTTAAAAATTAATTTTACAAGGCAAGTTTTAAATTGTAGAAGAGAAATGTTTATGTAATTATAAAATTATGATGCATTGTTAAGTACCATTATGATGTATGAAGAAAATATAAAATCCTATTTTAAAATTTACATGATATTCTTATTCCCCTGCCTACAGCACACTAATGGCTCTGATTACCTGTCTACTCTATATGGGATGATACTTAAAGATAGATATATATATTTAAAAATCTAGTATAAAAACTAATAAAACTATGATTATCTAAGTTGAAGACTTAAAGTCGTCAAACATATCTACAATTATCAAGGAGGACTTAATGAAAAGAGGGCTAAAACATCAAGTCACCTGGATGTCTGAGATTTAGATATGAAAGAATTTTCACGTTAGGTTTCACAACTATGAATACTAAAGGTAATAAAACTTCTTAGGAATAATATGAAATGCACCCATTGCTGGAGATATTTTATAAAGTAAAAATCATCTTACACAGATAATTTTGTATACTCTGTTGGTAATCTTTCCTTGCTATTTTATAATAGCAAGCTTTTATATCAGAAGAAAATCAGAAATTGTGATTTCATTCATTTGACATTTGCATATGTGTCCATGGTAAAACCACATTTGGCTCTGCCATCCCTTCCCATCCCCACTCCCATTTCGTGCCTTCCTACACTTTCTTTCTTCCTTTGGGCCCCATTCCTTAAAAAGTCTTAGAGTGAAGCACTGTGATAGGCACTCGGACAACACAGAGGGGGAGTCTGTGTGCCTTCCCAGTCTGCTCAGCCTGATTCTGCCCAGGAGCAGTGCGCAGACTACACCTCAGAGATGTTCCATGTATCATTGTTTACAATGGCTGTCCATCTATAGAGGACCAAATGAATAACTCATGCAAGTTCTGCACAATATAAACCTTCTCAGCAATTGCACCAAAGTAGTCACTTAGAAACAATGTTAACTGACATGTTTTAAATGAGCCCATTTGATGGTTTTAAAATGTAAAACGTGATCTCGCCTTAAAGAAAATGCTTTTAGCTTTTCCCATTAAGTATGATATTAGCTGTTGGTGTGTCACATACAGTGTTTATTATGTTGAAGTATGTTCCTTCTACTCTTACTTTGCTGAGAGTTTTTATCATAACAGTGCTGGATTTTATAAAAGGTTTTTACTGCACCTATTGATATGATCATATGATTTTTATACTTCTTTTAAGTTGGTATAACACATTAATTGATTTGTCGATATTGAATCAAACTTGAATGCCAGGAATAACTTCTACTTTATCACAGTATATAATCTTTTCAATGTATTATTGAATTTGGCTTGCTAATATTTTATTGAGGATTTGTGCATCTATGTTCATCAGGAATATTGGCCTACAATTAACTTTTTTTGGAATGTCTTTGCCTGGTTTTGGACACAGAACAATGCTGGCATTGTAAAAAGAGCTTGTTGGTCTTCTCTACTTCATCCTCTTCATTGTCTTCACATTCATCTACCTATTCTTTCCCATTGATTTCCACTGTTTTCCCTCCAATATGCCAGATACAAGAACTGTTTATATAAGCCTACTAAACTCTATAAATCCCAATCCTGTATATATATTACTCTTCTTATTATACTTCTTTTTTATTATGATCTTGAGGACTTCCATTTCTTTCTAAGGTCCTTGTCATTACTATACAAGGATCAGGGGTATGGTATGTGAACAATCATGGGGAAAAAACATTTAAAATAACAAAAAACCCTTCTTTCTAAGATCAAAGACTGCTAAGGACATCGGAGGAGCTTTCAGAAGAGGTTCAAGTGACCTCTTCTAAAGAAAAGCCCTTGACTTTTCTGATGTGTTAGAAAGGGTTTCGACCACATCTTCATTTTTGCTATGAAAATTATTGTCTTTACATAAGGTCCTATTTTCTGGTCTCACTATGGCATATTTTACTTCTGCTACAGTAAAACAAAGTAAAGAGTACATGAGAATATTTGAACTTCAAACCAGTGAAAAACACAAGAACAGACGTCTTCAAATAGCTTACTCTTTTCGGGACAGCTGGAAAACCAGCTAGTAGCATTGCCAAGCTTGGCTTCACTTCAACCTAGAAAAAAAATCATATCTTTAAGTATCAAATTTAACAACAATAATGATAATATTTACCATTACTATGTGACCTAACACAGAAATGGAATCATTCAGATGTAAAATCATATCCTAGTTCTGCCACCTACTAACTTCCATCTTCTCATGGGGTAAGGATGATGAGAGATGACATAGTATGCTGCAAAATGTTATTTTAGTTTTAAATGAAGGTAAAATAGGCCATGCTACCAAGACATGGAGTCATAGCAGCTCTACCTAATGCACAGAAACAAACACAGGGAAGCAGCCAAAACGAGCAAAGAAACATAGCCCAAATGAAAGAACAGATCAAAACTCCAGGAAAAGAAATGAACAAAGTGGAGATAAGCAATCCGTCAGATGCAGAGTTCAGAACACTGGCTTTAAGGATGCTCAGAGAGTTTATTGAGGACCTCAACAGCATAAAAAAAAAGATCCAGTCAGAAATGAAGGACACACTAATTGAGATAAAGAACAACTTACAGGGAAACAACAGTATAGTTATAGGATGAAGCCCAGAATGAAATCAGTGATTTGGAACATAAGGAAGCAGAAAAACAATCACTCAGAACAAAAAGAGGATAAAAAGAATAGAAAAGAAACGAGGATGGTGTAAGGAGGCTTGGGACAACTTCAAGCGTCCAACATTTGCATCACAGGTTTCCACAAGGAGAAGAGAAAGAGCAAGAAATTGGAAATGTATTTGAAAAAGTAGTGAAAGAAAAATTATCTAATTTGGTGAGGAAATACATGTTCAAGTCCAGGAAGTACAGAGAGTCCCAATTAGGACGGATACAGAGGCCCATCATACATCATCATTAAAGAGCCAAAGTGTAAAGATAAAAAAAGACTCTTAAAAGCAGCAAGAGAGTGGTGGCAGGAAAATGGAGACAAATATATTAAATAAAATAGAAAAAATAAAAAAATTGAAAAAAATAAAAGCAGCAGGATAAAAGAAGTTAGTTACCAGATGGTTACCAGATGGGAGCGGCATGTGGGGCAAGAGAGGAAGAGGTGAGGAGATTAAGAGGTACAAATAGGTAGTTATAGAATAGCCATGGCGATATAAAGTACAGTATAGGAAATACTATACTTTGGAGTAACCTAAGAACTTATACGCATGACCCATGGACATGAACAATGGTGGAGTGATTTTCTGAGGGAGTAGGGGGTGCTGGGTGGATGGGGGCAAAGAAGAAAAAATCATGGCAACTGTAATAACAATAATCAATAAAATATAATTTAAAAAAAGAAAAGAGAGCAAGAATGTACAATAAAGGGAAGACAGTTTCCTCAATAAATGGTGTTGAGAAATTTGGACAGATATCTCAAAAAAAATAAAAATAGATAACACTAGCCCACCTTCTTACACCATATATAAGAATAAGCTCAAAATTGATTAAAAATTAATATAAGACCTGAAACAATAAAATATCTAGAAAAAACATAGGCATTAAACTCTGACATTACTCTAAGTAATTCTTTTATGATACATCTCCTCAGGGAGGGGAAACAAAAGAAAAATAAACAAATGGCACTACACCAAACTCAGCTGTTTTTCACAGCAAAGAAATACATCAACAAAACAAAAAGACAGTCTACTGAATGGGGGAACATATTAACCAATAATACATCTATTATATCCAAAATTCATAAATAATTCATAGAGCTCAAGATCCAAAAAAACAAATAATCTAATTTAAAATGGGCAGAAAACCAGAATAAGCATTTGTCCAAAGGGGACATACGGATGGCATACAGACACATGAAAAGTAGCTCAATGTCACTAATCATCAGAGAAATGCAAATTAAAACCACAATGAGAAATCACGTCACACCTGTCAGAATGGCTATCATCAATAAATCAACAAACAGTAAGTGTTGGTGAGGACGTAGATAAAAGGGAACATTCGTGCACTGTTGGTGGGAATGCAGAATAGTGCAGTCACTATGGAAAACAGTGTGGAGTTTCTGCAAAAAATTAAAAATGGAACTACCCTGTGACCTAGGAATTCCACTCTTGGGAATATCTGTGAGAAATCCAAAACACTAATGTGCGCCCCCTATGTTCACTACAGCATTTTTACAATAGCCAAGATATGAAAGCAACTCAATATCCATCAATAGACAATGGCATAAAGATTTAGTAAATATTTACAATGAAATATTACTCTACCATAAAAAAATAAAATCTTACTATTTGTGACATGGATGGACTTACAGGGAATGATGCTACATAAAATAAGTCAGACAGAAAAAGACAAAAACCATATGATTTCATTAATATGTGGAATCTAAAGAAAATAAAGAAACAAAAAACAGAAACACTCATACACACAATGAACAAACTGAAGGGTTGCCAGGTGGAAAGGGAGTGGGAAAGATAAAAGAGATGAAGGGAATAAAAAGTTAAGAAATAATCACAGGGATGTAAAGTTCAGCATAGGGAATATGGTCAATAATATTGAAATAACTATGCATGTTGACAGGTGAGTACCAGTATTATCAGGAGGAGCACTTTATAAATTATGTAATTTTCAGACCACCATGTTGTACACAAAACAAATATTAAATAACATTGAATGTCAACTGTAATTTAAACATTAAATATAAAATAAATTGTAACATCTTAATTTAATTAATTGATTGATTATTGTCCTGATGGTATTTTTTATTTAGTGAGGAAAAGTTTACAAAACATAAAATTAAACTTTTCAAAGTGAAAAATTCAGTAGCATTTAATTCATTCACAATATTGAACAATCATCTCCTCTAGTTCCAAAATACTTTCATCATCCTAAAAGAAAATCCCATTCCCATTAAACAGATACTCCCAATTCCCTCCATCCCAAGTCCCTGGCAAGCACTAACCTGCTTTCTCTCTCTATGAATTAGCATATTCCTGATATTTCATATAAAAGGAATCATACAATTAAAAATAATTTTAAAAATAAATCTCTAAGAAAAAGTGAATTTTTATTTTTTATTTAGGAGTATTTCAGCTTAAATTTATTTCTCATTTAATTAACAGAAATTAAGAACCTCATATACATAATCATAATTTTTAATTTTAATTAATGAAAAAACAAAATAAAATACTTACTATCTATCTTACCAGCAAAAGAAATCTAAAACACTTACTCAGATTATGCCAAAGAGTAAGGTAATTTACAAAGTTAATTATATAGCAAATTGTAAGATGTTTGAAACAGCAAGAGAAAGGAGGGCAAAAATTCATAATGCATAATAAATCTGGTAAGGTCTAAAAGAGATTTCAATGTACATTATTTATGAACACAGGTTTTGCTAGATAAAATATATGACATTAATTTATTAAACTTAAAAGGGAGGATAAAAAAACAACTTCAAATTAAACTTTAATAACCAAAAAATGATGACAATTAAATTTTCCTTCAGTTCTTCATAAAAATTAGCTATTGAGTAATTCAGAGGAGTTAAGCATTTTTTTAATTACCTGGGTTTCTCTTCTTAATTTGCACTTAAAATTATTTTTATCATGTCATAATATGGCAAGTTCTTGCCCCACTTAAGTCCCCTATTTATGTTGTGTCTTTACAATAATTTCTTCATCTTGACTCTCTTATTAAATCTTTATTTTCATCTTGAGCTTCTTAAATGAATTTTCTCCCTTCTTTGTCTTCACTGTCTTCACATTCATCTACCTGTTCTTTCCCATTGATTTCCACTGTTTTCCCTCCAATATGCCAGATACAAGAACTGTTTATATAAGCCTACTAACCTCTATAAATCCCAATCCTGTATATATATTACTCTTCTTATTATACTTCTTTTTTATTATGATCTTGAGGACTTCCATTTCTTTCTAAGGTCCTTGTCATTACTATACAAGGATCAGGGGTATGGTATGTGAACAATCATGGGGAAAAAACATTTAAAATAACAAAAAACCCTTCTTTCTAAGATCAAAGACTGCTAAGGACATCGGAGGAGCTTTCAGAAGAGGTTCAAGTGACCTCTTCTATAGAAAAGCCCTTGACTTTTCTGATGTGTTAGAAAGGGTTTCGACCACATCTTCATTTTTGCTATGAAAATTATTGTCTTTACATAAGGTCCTATTTTCTGGTCTCACTATGGCATATTTTACTTCTGCTACAGTAAAACAAAGTAAAGAGTACATGAGAATATTTGAACTTCAAACCAGTGAAAAACACAAGAACAGACGTCTTCAAATAGCTTACTGGTTTCTGGAATTGTGGAAAACCAGCCAGTAGATTTCTCAAGCTGCGTTTCCTGTTACCCTAGGGGAAAAAAAATAATCATTAAGTATCAAATTTAACAACAATAATGATAATATTTACCATTACTATGTGATCTAACATACAAATGGAATCATTCAGATGTAAAATGATACTAGTTCTGCCACCTACTAACTTCCATCTTCTCATGGGGTAAGGATGATGAGAGATGACATAGTAAGCCCCGAAATATTATTTTACCTTTAAATGAATATTATCTAAATGCTATAATATCCACTAGATTATAAAATTTGCCCTCTGTAGTTTAGAGTACTACTGCAAAAAACTAACATTAAGAAATTTAAGTTACTTATTTGTTATGTTTTGTAATATGTTGCATTATTTATATTTACATGGATTATCTCTTTTGTGGGAAAGCATGAGAGCTTAGTTTTCAGTTGTATTTAGACGGGTTGGAATTGCAAACAGTATAAAGTTGCTTCTATTCTGTTTATCAGAAACCTAAGAAGAAGTGATTTAATTTAGCTTCCTCCAAGAAAAGGAAAAGAATAAAGCTGTGGGGCCAAATACATATTAAATAGAAAGCCATTACCAAATATATGACAATGTGGAGAGAGGGAAATGAGCTGGGAAAACAGACATTAAAGAAATGTTTTCTACAAGGAAAAAACTAGGCTAGTGGTAAATTAGGAAAAAAAGGGTAGGGGAAGAAAAAGAAAAGAAAAAATGAGATATAATCAGTTAATTAAGCAGAAGCCTAAGACAAGGAAGAAAAGGGAAAGAATAAGTACAATATAATATGCAGAGAAAAGTATATAGAATTTCAGTATATATGAATATATTTAAAGTACATTATACATCAATATTACTAGAAATATACTTTGAACAAAGCCTCCATTTTATACATATTTTTGTTATATTATTAAAATATAACATTTCATAAAACTATAAATATACAAAATAGAAAAGCCTCCATTTTATATATTTTATTATATACTAAAATACATAAAATTTTATACAACTGTGTAAATATATATAAAATGTGTTATTTTATATGTAAGCATATAAAAATTTATAAATATATTACATATGAAATATATATAATGTATAAAATATAAATATATAAAAACTACATAAAATAGTCTTTTGTTCATAGTATATCCCTCATAATACTTATTTGTATTATTCTATCATTATTTCTTCCTATATACCACTGTGTTAAAGTTTAATTTTTGTCACTATAAAATAAGTCATTCAATTATTTGAACATGTTCATCCATGACAATCTGAAAGCTGTACATTTTTACTAGAGAGATAAAAATAGAAAAAAAAAGTTCCTAATACATCCTCTTTTCATTTGGAGAAAGAATTAATAAACAGAGTTCTAAGGAGAATCGTATGGTTTGAAAAGATATATTTAAAGGAATATGACATGGGGCTATGAAAAGCTTAAAATTTTAATCTAAAATTACAAGCTCACAATTGAAGGAAGCTAAAAAATATACCATAACCCAGTTTCTACATTATCATGTATTTTCTCATTTTCTTCTTATTTATAACAAATTTCCTCAACATAATTGAATTTGTCATATTTTTAGAAATTTAAATAATTTAATCAGGATGTTTGATGTCTGATATATACTTGTAACAGTTCATTTTACAGTACTCCATTTGTCTGTTTACATATACATACTTCAAGAATATAAAAAGTGCTTCTTACATGCCATACTTTATTCTAGGTGCTCCAGGATATGTACAATTATGTTTCCTAACCTCCACTAGCTTACAGTGATGCAGGAAATTTAAAATGAATATTTAAATAACTATAATATTAAAACATCTGAAATTTGAACATTTAAAAGGTGATACATGACATTGGGTAAATATTTTTTTAAAATACAATACAAAAACTTCCTTCTTGGCTTCAGTCAAGATGGCCAGGGCTAAATGCTGTGCTCAACATTCCCATGACCACATCAAAATTATAATTAAATTGTAGAACAACCACCCTTGAGAACCAACTAAAGATTAGCTGAACAGAATTCTTAACAACTAAGAACATCAAGAAGCCACATCAAGACTGGTAGGAGGACTTCTGGTCAAGATGCAGGCATAGGTAAACATGGCTCGCCTCCTTGGAAGACCACATCACTCAGAACCATCAGAAGTTGAGTTGAATGGAAGTCCAGAAACTACAGAATTAAAGAAACCACACCCAACCAGACAGAGAGGAGTGGCAGAGATTCAGAGGTACTGAATGGTCTGGTCCCACACCCACATGTGGTGAATAAAAATTCTGGAGGGATATATTGGGAACAAGGAGTCCCAACCCCACACCAGGCTCCCCCACCCATAATTCCAATGCCAGGAAGATAAGTTCCCACAACATTTGGTTGCAAAAACCAGCAGGGATTGAGTGGGTGGAAGAGATTTCTGGAGTTCCCAGCAGTTCCTCTTAAGCAACCCTCACATGGACTTACTCAGACTCACTCCCTCTGAGCTCCAGCACCATAGTAGCAGCTTGACAGGCACCAGTGGCATATGGGAGGAATTGAAGTGTCTGGCATCACAGCAAGAGCTGGGGACAGCTTTCTCCCAGACAGAAATGGGTGCAGAGCCATTATTCCTTTTCTGAACCTTCCCCCAACAGAGACACAGAGCCAGCAGCCAAGTGCTATATCTGAGACTCCATCACCTAGCTAACACTGTTTGCCCACCATGAAGATCCCCTGAGGCTCTGCCTCACAGAACTTATGGCCCACCCAAGCTGCTTTTCCATATGAGTGGTTGGTCTTGGCTCATGCTTCCCAACTTACTAAATCCTCTCAAACAAGCAACGGTGGACCTCAGTGAGCCCTCAACTCCCATACCTCTTCTGAAGTGGCTCCAGGCTTGGCACTAGCAATAGCCAACCTAGGTTCACAGCTTGGCTTCACTTGGGAACCTCCCAGCCAGCACAAGTAGCAGCCATCTGCAGACTGCTCTGTTGCTCATGCACGGTGGCCCTGGGCAGAACACAGGTGGGTGCTGACCTTAGCCTGCACCACCTGAGAAGTGCCAGAACCTGTGTGCTCAATGGACAACTACAGACCACACTGGAGGACCACCACCCAGCCCCCACACAACTGATCCTCCATGGAGGGCAGAGGTTGGTGGTCAGTGGTCACCCCCAGTCCCTGAACCTGTCTGGCCTGAGTAATTTGCTCCCATTGACCTTCCAACAGCAATCAAGGCTCAACTAAAGAGGAGAGGGTACCCTGTCCACACAGAGGGTGCACCTCAAATTCCCAGCTTGGGTGATTAGGTAGACTGTGCACTGGACCCTGCAGGACACCTACTACATTAGTCCACGCTACCAAGACATGGAGTCATAGCAGCTCTACCTAACGCACAGAAACAAACACAGGGAAGCAGCCAAAATGAGCAAAGAAACATAGCCCAAATGAAAGAACAGATCCAGGAAACTCCAGGAAAAGAAACTCCAGGAAAAGAAATGAACAAAGTGGAGATAAGCAATCCGTCAGATGCAGAGTTCAGAACACTGGCTTTAAGGATGCTCAGAGAGTTTATTGAGGACCTCAACAGCATAAAAAAAAAGATCCAGTCAGAAATGAAGGACACACTGATTGAGATAAAGAACAACTTACAGGGAAACAACAGTATAGTTATAGGATGAAGCCCAGAATGAAATCAGTGATTTGGAACATAAGGAAGCAGAAAAACAATCACTCAGAACAAAAAGAGGATAAAAAGAATAGAAAAGAAACGAGGATGGTGTAAGGAGGCTTGGGACAACTTCAAGCGTCCAACATTTGCATCACAGGTTTCCACAAGGAGAAGAGAAAGAGCAAGAAATTGGAAATGTATTTGAAAAAGTAGTGAAAGAAAAATTATCTAATTTGGTGGAGGAAATAGACATGTAAATTCAGGAAGCACACAAGTCCCTAACAAGATGAATGCAAAGAGGCCTACTCCAAGACACATCATTATTAAAATGCCAAAGGTTAAAGATAAGGATAGAATCTTTAAAGCTGCAAGAGAAAAGCAGTTAGTTACCTACTTATTCCCATAAGACTGTCAGCTGATATCACAAAAGAAACTCTGCACGCTAGAAGGGATTTGCAAGAAATATGCAAAGTTATGTAAAGTGGGATCCTACAGCCGAGATTGCTCTACCCAGTAAAACTATCATTTAGAATCAAAGGGTGGAGAAAGGACTTCCCAGATGAGAAAACACTAAAGGAGTTCATCATCACCAAACCATTATTGTATAAAATGTTAAAGAGTCTTACTTCAGAAAAAGAAGATCAAAACCATAAACAATAAAATGACAATAAAACATATTCATCAACGACTGAATCTAAGAAACAAATTAAGCAAACAAGAATAGCAGAGACAGAATCATGGATATAGAGAGCATTTTGATGGTTGCCAACTGGGAGGGGGATGTGGGGGAATGGGTGAAGAGGTGAGGGGATTAAGAAGTACAAATTGGTTGTTATGAATACCCATGGGGATGTAAAGTACAATGTAGGAAAGAACTTATACTTATGACCTATGGGCATGAACAATGAACAATGGACATGAACAATGGTGGGGAGGTTACCTGAGGGTCTAGGGGCCGCTGGGTGGAGGGAGACAAAGGGGAAAAAAATGGGACCACTATAATAGCATAATCAATAAAATATAATTAAGAAAAGACTGGTAGGAGGAGCAATGAACATGAACAATGGTGGGGAGTTTGCCTGAGAGACTAGGGATCGCTGGGTGGGAGGAGACAAAGGGGGATAAATGGGACCACTGTAATAGCATAATCAATAAAATATAATTAAGAAAAAACTGGTAGGAGGGGCAAAAAATGGACTTGTCCTACATCCATGTGTGTCACTTAAGAATCGGCAGGCATATTTCTGCTGTATCGGTCCCAGTGGTCAAGGCGTGCCAGCCCTACACTGGGGTCCTCGTATCAGCTTCCTTAGCCCAGAGCACTGGCGCTGGGAACAGGTGTCCCCACAGCCCCTGCCTTTGAAAATCATCAGGAA